AGGGAGGATTTAACGAGGAGGATGTTAGAATCTTTTTTAGTAAATTTTGCTACGGTGTCCGACTTCTACCACTATTATTACCAATTCTGTTTTTTTTATTTCGTAAATAACTCGTCAATCGTCCAACACGCGATAACGATAATTACCTTTATAATTGTGAAACAAAGGTTTACCGAGATTAATCGGGTCCTTAACTAAATAATTTTCGACTTTATTTACTATTCTTTGGACTACTGAACGGTCCAAACGCTCCAAATCCGCCAAAGCCACTTTTTCCCAAATTACCTTATACATTTACTCCAAATTAAGTTTTTTTTTTAATTCCTCGGTGGTGTAAGTTTCTCCTCGTTGTCCTTCTCGTTCCAAAACAATACGTAAAGCCTCTAAATCCTCTAAATAATTTTTTAGAGCTTCTTGAATGAAAAAAGTGCGGGGTCTCTTGCTAATAATTTCTAAATATTCTAATTGATTTTCTATATTTTTGGGTAATTCTAAATTAGTCGCCATGATTAATTATTTTTATCAGTCTTCATCGATTATGTGTTAATTTTGTTATTCGCGTAAAATAAGGCTATGAACAGGAGTTTGAATAGAGATTGAAAAAAGTTAGAGGTCGGTGGTGTTATGACCGGTTGACTACTTACGACTAAATATCTTTGCAATGAATGAGAGTTGAACTTAATTTGGTCCCTGCTGCTGGGGCTGGTTTTTATTCTTTCCCTTCGGTTAATTGCAACATTAGTGATAAAAGAAATCAACGCTCGTTAGTTAAAAACCCTTTCGCCCATTGCGTAATTAATCTTTCTCCTAATAGCCTCTTTTTTGGTATTCGGCCCATAAGTAGCGTTTTCGCTACGGCATTTCCGCCAAGTGCTTTCCCAAACATTTTCCACATAAAGCCTTTTTCTCGTTATTGAGAGAAATTAATTGGTAAGAGATAAAATTATTCAGCAAATTTTTGCAGACTTGTTTTCCGGTTTCTAATTACCGGCATTTTTAGCAAATTTAGGGTTTACCATTAGGGATTTACATAAAGAGGTTTACCAGGGATTACACAAAACATATAATATATAATAAAAAGTAAACCCATTATGCCCTATAAAGACATTAACAAAAGACGCGAGGCTATACGCAAGAGTGTGGCTAAATTAAGAGCCAAACGAAAAGGGATTACATATGACGATAATGTAAACCCAATAATACCCAAACAAGGAAACAAAGAAGTAAACCCACAAAAGGGATTTACTAGTAAACCCAAAAAGGCCAATTTGAGAGGAGGAAAAATTTACGCAAATTTACGAACTAATTAACCAAGAAAAAAATGAAAGAATGTCGTTTCAAAATGAAATAAGAGAATGGAGCCAAAACATCACCGAAATCATTAATAACTTCCGGACAACAGGAAAGAAAAAAAACGAAACGAACAACCAAAAACAGACTGCGAGAAAAAAAACATTCCAAGAGAAAAGCCCCCGAGAAAAACCAGAAAAAAAACCGCTGGCTGACAACGAAAAAATCAAAGTTGATACTGCCGAACTAGAAAAACACACCGGAATTAAGAAAGATTGAAAAAATCCGGAATGGAATAAGGCTTACAAAAATGCTTATAACGTCCTTTACAATTCCTTGGAAAGCACCAAGGAGAAAAAAAGGGATTGAGTGGAAAAGAACCGGTAAGAGTTAGTTTTTAACTCGGATTTCTAGCAATTTTGCTTAATTTATAAAAAATTACCCATGCCCTTTTTAAAAAAAAATCAAGGCTAATTATACTACCACTATGGCACAATGTTCTAATTGTCCCAAATTATTAGAGGTGTTGAGTCATAAAGGCTTAATCAAAAACCGGAATGATGCCCGCTTTTGAGGTTTGCCTGAAAAGAAAATTTTCTGTGGTGATTGCTTAGGTAAAAAAAAGTCTGAAATGCCACCCCGTAAGCGTTATTTGTGGGAGGAATACAGAAAAAGAGGTTATTGAAAATAGATAATTACGCAATAGGCGAACACTCAATTAACAGTAAATTTACTACACATATCCCCTCTTTTAACCTCAATTTTCGTCATTAGTGCTTATGTCTCCTCAATCATCCTCGTCGCTTATTGCGTCTA